GCCATCACGAATGAGAGCTCAACAAAGTCACCTTGTCTTTTGGACATTTATAGCAGCAACATAGAATCTAAATAATAATCTCAATGTCCGGTAGGGGCGGCTCAGAAAGTTACAACAATGCACAAAACGCACGCACAAAAAAAATTAACCCGTAAAAACAAAGTTTTTCACTATAAATCCTTTATATGCGTGGCGGCTAGAGTCCTCTCGTCCTCTGGCTTGAGATGGCTGCCACCTATGGGTCAGATGATTGCCTGCCACCATTAAGCAATTGGTAATTAAATATAATTTATTTTTTCCTAAAAAGTGTAACATTTTGGAAAAAAATGTTCACGAAAATAAATTGTCATGCATAACGAGTCTGTGTGCAAAATGTCAGCTCGATTGGATCACGGGAAGTGGGTTAAAAAACGACCGAAAGATTTGCACGGTCGTAAGCAAGCAAGCAAGCAAGTGAACTTAATATAAAGGATTTTAAAAACACACGATGGGAGTGTAAAGTATAAGAAAGGTCATAATCACTAAAAATAAACTCTTTTTTATTATTTTTTAACCAGGTAAGGCCCCACTGAGTTATGCACCTCTTTTGAAGAAGCTACCTCGCCCGTCACAGATGACATCTCGACAAAGAGAGTGGCTCATTATCGTCGCGTGGAAATTCACAGCAGCCGAAGACTCGAAGCGCGTGACGTCGGTTCTAAATGTGGAGGGGAAAAACCGGAGGACCCGGAGAAAAATCCACGCGACCACGGGGAGAGAGAGACACGAAAACTCCAAATATACAGCAGCAGGTGTCAGGGATCGAACCCACGGCCTTCTGTGTAGCAGGCGAGGTTAGGTAACATCTCCTAGCACCGTGATGATGAGAGAGAGACACGCAAACTCCAAATATACAGCAGCAGGCATCAGGGATCGAACCCATGACCTCCTGCGTACAGGCGAGGTAGTTAACATCTCCTAGCCACCGTGATGATGAGAGACGCAAACTCCAAATATACAGCAGCAGGCGTCAGGGTCGGGATCGAACTCACGACCTCCTGTGAACCAGGCGAGGTAGTTAACATCTCCTAGCCACCGTGATGATGATGAGACGCAAACTCTAAATATACAGCAGCAGGCGTCAGGGTCGGGATCGAGCCCACGACCTCCTGTATACCAGGCGAGGTAGTTAACATCTCCTAGTCACCGTGATGATGATGACGCAAACTCCAAATGTACAGCAGCAGGCGTCAGGGTCGGGATCGAACTCACGACCACCTGTGAACCAGGCGAGGTAGTTAACATCTCCTAGCCACCGTGATGATGATGAGACGCAAACTCCAAATATATAGCAGCAGGCGTCAGGGTCGGGATCGAACTCATGACCTCCTGTATACCAGGCAAGGTAGTTAATATCTCCTACGACGATGCTGATGATGGAATCTTGATGATATCCTCCGCCAAAGATAATTCCCAATTTCCGCGCAAAGGAATCCTGCCAGCAGATAACAGGAGTCGTTTGCGTTTTAGATTATTGATGTCTTCCCGTACTTTGAAGCCTATCCTCTCATTGATGTGAGCCAGCTCCATGCATCCTTCTCGGGGGCTCGCAACGGGACACAACAGCGGAGATCGGTCATGTGCCCTCTCTCTCTCTGTGTGTCTCTCATTTTTGTTACGATCAGTTGGAAACAAGAAGATGCTCGGTGTAGTCGGCACTTTGCTTCGTTCATCATTTCGTAATTTTTTTTGATTTTTAAACTTTGCTTTATGTAAACCCTCACCTCTCGCTCACTCTCTCTCTCTCTCGCTCGCTCGCTCGCTCTCTTTACCGTGAATTAGCTCCGTCCTTATACTGGTAGGAACCTCCTGGTTCCACCAGCCTCCAGGGGATAATTGTGTTCGTCCGTCCGTCGTGCATCTAAAAATGGGAGGGGTGGGGCTGGGTGGAGAGGGAGGGTGGTGAGGGGCTGGGGAGGGAGGGGCTAGGTGGAGAGGGGAGGGGCTGGGTGTGGCTAGGTGGGGAGGGGAGGGTGTGGAGGGGCTGGGTGGGGAGGGTGGGGGCGGGGCTGGGTGGGGAGGGGAGGGGCTGGGTGGGGTGGGAGGGGTGGGGCTGGGTGGGGAGGGGCTGGTCACCCCGTGGTGTCCTTATAAAACTCAACGTTTAACCTACTCACGACGGCTTGTGCCCGCCCTCACAGTCGGGCATATTTGCGGAATACACCACGCCGCCGTTGACCCTGCAGGCCATTGACCGAGCAACCCAACGTTCCTACCAGCTCCCTCCGCAGGAAAGTGTAATGAGTGTCGCGCGGTTGTGCGTTCGTGACGACTCAAGTTGAATTCCTATCCTGCCAAAAACTACAAACAATGTATTTTTTCTATGTAACCAGGTAAGGGCCACTGTATGTATGTATGTGGAACTTATTTCGCATCGTACGTAGCCAATCTTGCTCATCGGAGGTTGCAGGGGAAGGACAACAAACTATGGGTCTCTGTGTGAGTCTATGGGTCTCTGTGTGAGTCTGTGGATCTCTGTGTGAGTATGTGGGTCTCTGTGTGATTCTATGGGTCTCTGTGTGAGTCCATGGGTCTCTGTGTGAGTCTGTGGGTCTCTGTGTGAGTCTATGGGTCTCTGTTTTAGTCTTTGGGTCTTTATCTGAGTCTGTGGATCTCTGTGTGAGTATGTGGGTCTCTGTGTGAGTCTATGGGTCTCTGTGTGAGTCTATGGGTATCTGTGTGAGTCCATGGGTCTTTGTGTGAGTCTATACGTATCTATGTGAGTCTATGGGTCTCTGTG